CAGAAGAGACAAGAAGTGGGGTACAGTGGGGGCAGAAGTCAGAAATAGGAAGTTGTGGGATTGTTACATACGGGCTTCCTGCGATTTGTGGTGGGCAGTGCCTAAGTTTGTTCTGAAGATGCAGCAAAAAAGGAAGAATTAAAAGAAAATTCTTACCAGGCCCTGAAGTGCAGCAGTGCTTCTGGGGTATGCTGAATTGTTGCCAAGGTCAGCCTTGAAGGGTTTTCAGTTGAGGGCTGATGTGTGTAGATTGTATACAAGGGGGTATACAAGTATATATATATACTATAGATATCCCCGCTAGATTTCATTTCAGTAGTTTTTTGAGCAGAGTTGCTGTCATCAGTGGTTAGAATTGATGCTTGATTGCACTTTTTATTTACTGTTGGACTTAGTTATGAAGTTACCCTCACACAGAAGAAGTGCTGCAAATACCTTACTTCCCATTGCTCTTTATTGTGTAATCTTCTACATGCTTCTTCCCGTGTGTCTTGAAACCTCTCCCCTTGCTTCCAAATGTGGCTAGCGCATCTTCATCTTTTTTTTTAAAATTGAGTTTCAAGAGTTAAGTGCTATAGAATACAGCTAGGCAGTTGTGTAGTTGAGATTTTACTTGCATAATGGGAAAATGTGTTAATAGTCTCATTAGGTATCTCTCATAGAGGTGCAACGATAAATCAGTCCCATATCAGCACTGATACAGGGAAAATTGATAGTATTGGCAATGAGCTCTTTTTACCTGATGTGACTGATATCCACATCTCCATGCACGTGGCCAGGAGAGCAGCCTGGAAGTTTTGGAGAGCAGCACTTGGCTGGTAAGTCTGTTGTGGGGGTAGAGGGGTTTCAGATCGAACCTGCGGTAAGGGAGGGAGTGGAGCTGAGACAGGTGCTGCTTAGCCAGGGCAGGGTATGGAACAGCTATGAGTGGCTCGTCTAGGGGCATGGGGATGGGGGTGGGGTGACTCCCACTGCTGCACACACCCTGGGGAAGGCACCGGGGGGGCATGTGCCCCTGGATCTGTGCATTGGGCAGGGTGGGCTGGCGCTGCTGGCTGGGGCCAGGG